AAAATGCAAGTTATTTGAAAAAGAAGATTGTGGTGCGGTCCATTTAATCAAGAATTATCCCAAGAAACACTTGAATGAGCTGACATCTCAATCTACATACAGCTCTCAAGTGAGTACCCTCGCCGTGTGTAAATTAAGGCACTGATGTCCTTTTTATGGACATTCATCCCAGCGTTCTACTAACTTCTAATGATCGAATCAGAAGTTTATTTATGTAGAACGAACAAATTGTCCTACTACGCGAAATCTTTTTATAGGAACAAATCAGCAAGCCGTCCATACTCGTCATTCATCCGTTTGTCTTCTCTTATACACAGTTGAAACCCAATTTTTTTGGATAAACAGAAACCCCTGGAGACATTATTTTCTTTTTTCAGAAAATATCAATTATTTTTAATTGGTAAAACTTTGGTTCGAAAATGCAAAGCAGAAAAATTAACCATTTTAAATAATAGAAAAGAATTAACAGATACGGGAACTCGATCAGCCTTCGGGAAGAGAGAGATGAGACCTGAATATATGTATATCAGACGGTCCTTTTGGTTCCTTCATTGTGTTCTTACTCTTTTATGTCCAATGACTCTTCTTCTTTTTCTTTTTTTTTTTGGTTTAGATCTTAACCTAAATTCCATTCGAGTGAATCAGATTGATCCACTAGCATGAAGTGAAAAAGGCAAAAGCGTCATTGATTCACTCTATTTAAAAGGATAAAAAGATAGAGCGGCCGGATATGGTCACTTCCTTTTCGAAATGTTTGTTCAAGTAGAAATAGCTAAGAAATACAAAGAAAAAAGAGAAAAAGAAGGTCCCGGAAATGAAGTGGGAGCCATTAAAGGTGGCCCATGGTGATGCAAGAGCGGGACAGCACAAGCTCTTGGAATTTTGGATGACAACCGAGAGAATGGAAAAGGAAGACAAGGAGTTGGGAATATTTTGGGGCTTTGACAATTGACGGTAAGAAAATGAAATTCATCAATTTTTAGGAAGAGCGCAGTGTACCAGGAAATCCAAGTCTCGACCAAGATAGAAAATGGGCAAAATTGAGAATGGTACTTGAAGAAGCGTTGAACTTCCCAGGACCGAGCTGACCTTCTTCTAAGCTCGGCGTGCTGATGAGAAGAGCGTGTCCAAACCCTGCAAAATAAACAAGAAAATGTCTTTAGGGTGACTAGCAGGGGAGCCCCGAGGTTATTCCCGGGGGCACTCCGACGGTCAAGTTAGTCTTCCGGTGAGTGGAATTCACGAGAGGTAAAACAATCGGGAGTAATCTGTTCGTAGTGAGCGTACCTTGCACAACTGGTGTGCGTTACCATTTATACCTACTCGAGAGCCCGACCTCCGTACGTTTCGGGATCTGCCCGAAATAGCATCAATCCCGCGCTGAGGGGGATTCTCCCCGCCCCTGCGGGATTGTTCTCCGGAGCCCTAGCGGCGGTGTGCCCCAGGATAGTTCCCATGAGCCTGGGGTCCAAGCCCAACTCTGGACTTCCCAGGCTGCCATGTGTCTGGCCCGGGACGGGGCCTCTGCAGTACTCACATTCATCGTTTTGCATATCCATCTCTTTGTATAAAGTGTAAACTATCACTCTCATTTTGTTATGTTCATAAATAAATAAATAAATAAAAAGAAGTTGCCATAATGGATAAGTAACAACTTTACAAGTTGGCCATGGATTGGCTCTCAATTGATTAGCTTAATTGATTATAAATTCATTAAATAAATATTTTTTAATGTTCTTGTGTCCTTCTAAATTAGATCATAATTGTTTTTCAAACAGCTAAAAAAGTAAAACGCATAATCTATTAAAAAGTAGCTTTGCTGTCTGTACTATAATCGTTTTTCGTGATCAGCTTTTGCAAAATTTGAAGCAAAGAGAACAAGCTCTGTCTTAGTAGTGCAAAACAAGAAAAAGTACACATCCATGCAAGTATAAATGTAATACTCTTTAATTTAATTTTGCAACTGTAGTAATTCAGTATTTACGCTAATGTTTGTGAATTATTAGTTGTAATTTTAGGGAAATCATGATATGTTAATATTGATCCAATTCCAACGTAATCTACAAACAAAATAATGCATGTGGAACAAACTTTTTTCCTTTTATGTATGTCTGGAACAAAAAATAAAATTGTTAAGACATATTCAATTGATCTTACACCTGACCTGGCCCATTCTTATTACAAGATTCTTGGAAAGAAATCATACCAACTACCGAGACAGGCACCAATCTGCTATCCAGAGCTGTCTGCAGGCCATCGCAGGTCCCAAGCATCTCCGTCCTTCCTTGCAAACAAAACTGGCCATGAAGTCCTGGACAATCTTCCCCGTCTGAAGGGTTACAACATCAAGAAAACAAAGATTGATGTACATATAAATTGAATAGAAGTATTCAATAACTACTATATATGGCCCCAAAAAACAAGTACTATAACTGCAATATCTGGTGGAGATATCCTTCTGCCCAGTGGCGGAGCCAGTACGTACTATATTACAGCGGGGCATGAGTTCTGTAATTATGAGAATCGAAATGGACAATTATAACACTCTCGTAATAACAAATAGAGATATATAATTATTTACCAATAACTGAAGTACGAGGATGCGAATAACTCATTAATGCTGGACAACGCATTTAAGTATGAATTTTTAATTTGTGCAATAAAAATCACCACCAGAATAAATTTTTAAAGCATCGGACTTAATACTTAAAAGTCATTGATTACAATGATAATGATAGGTTACATATATTGCTAGTTATTTTGTTAACAACAAAAGTATCAAAGCACTTCCGGGCACATAATATTGGCTTTCATCAAATTATTCGGAATAAAAGCAAAAATTTTCACATTTTACTTTTGCTAGTAAAGTCACATTTACAATTTATTAGGGTAGAAGCACAATTCTTACAAAATTTTAAACCTAAACTTGGGACTGTCCTTTGTCCGGTGGGGGCAGGTAGCTCCTCCCGGTCTTGGACCGTCAAAAGTTCTGATTTAGAGGCTTCCTTTGGAGCATAGTTATAAGATTCGGTCCAGCTCGGCTCGACGGTTGAACCGTTCAATCCGACAAACAAACTACAGAATCGAGTTGGATCACTAATTAGATCACACAAATAATAAATTCGTTGACTAATCAATAATTCAACGGTCCAACAAGTGAATCAAAAAAAATCATCGGTTAAACCGCCAACTTAAATTTTTTAAATTATTTTTATAATTTAAAATATATTATTATATTGTATAACATAATTGCTGTCCAATTTGCTGTTCAATCCGCAATTAAATCAAAAATCCGTTGTACGGATCACCTCTCTGAGTCAAGATCCCGGCCAAGTTTTACAAGTATGCTTTGTAAACCAGGCCGCTAGTGGCGGCCGCAGTATAGATTCTGGTAGTTTCAACATTTGCAATACGGCTTCCTTATTCCTGGACTAGAAATCAAAATTTAACGCTAAGCATCATGCAATTCTATACACCAAGGAAGATTTTCAATCTTGGGAACAAATTCAGAAAGGTAAGTGTATCCAACTCTCCGGTTAAAATCACTAGAAGAACATGAAACAACAGTCACTGAACGCACCAAAATGAACAAGTACTTGCTACACGAAAAAGAACAATGACTTCATTAATGTTTTTCATAAAAAAAAAAAACGTTGACTTCATTAATGCCCACAAATCTTTATTAGTAGATAATTCACTAACACTTACAACTCAAACACATGGGTCATTGTCTCTAGAATCCCACTTAACAAGTAGGAACATTGGCCGTATGACTATAAGTTTCCTGATTTGATTTTTAAATTCTTCATTTTTCCTATTCTTTTTTGTAAGGTTTGAAGTCTTTCTTTGGAGTTTATCAAAAAATTGGGTATCGTGTTCAAGTTACTTGTCCGGATAAAAAAGAATATCCTTTTCTTATGACAATAAAGTGAACCACAGAAAGATTAAAATGTCATGAATAATGACAAGAGCCAAATTCCAAAATTGGGTCAAAAGTATAACAGTAAAACGAAATTGTTCAGCAGCACAAATTCAAATTCAAGAACCCAACTCAGCTAGGTTTACATGTAATGGTTCAAATGTAGTAGAAGATTTTGGTCTTTTACTAGAAGTTATTCCAACCAAAATAATACTAACAAGGTGCCAAAAGCTTCGAATTTGACCTAGCTAGGCCCACAGGCTATGCTGTAAATCAAACCAAATAATTTGTTACTCGATTTAAATTGAATCAGGTTGTTCAAACTTGTTTATTTAGGTATCAATTCAAACCCAAACATGATTTCAAATTCAAAAATATTAACGAACCAATCACGATCTTCATTTTGTTCAGCTCGATACGTTTTGAAACATATAAGATAAGTAAATTTCATAAAAATATACCTATTAGTTTCCTTCTTTGACTCCACTTCTTTTCTTTCTATATATTGCTTATCTTATAAAATAGTAAGCATATAATACTCTTGTCTCTTGAATAGGTATAATTGATTTTAATCACATGCCTAATTCATAGTCATAGATTTTCGGAATATCAGAGAGCAAAAATTAAGGAAAAAAAACAACAAATTAGGGTAAAAAATTCTATATAATACAACATGAAATTTCAAGCCAAACCAAACTTTGATTGTATGTGCTTGAATTCGATACTTTGATAAGCCAAATCAAGTTTTCTGTGAACATACTTATGAAATTTCAAGTCAAGTTCCATCAGTTCCTTTCAAAAAAATTTTAAACACAATTCAAGTTCAAACATTTCTTTTAATTTTGAAGCCAATCCTGAACATAAGTCTGTCCCGCTCGTTGAAACTTATTTTCAGCCCTATCCTCAGGGTTGTAATGGGAATCTGTATAGCCGAAGCTTTGGATTCGGGGGTGTGTGGCCCCGATGGGGACCGGGGTGGGGTGGGGAGGGGGGGGGAATGGAAATCGTGATGAAGCTGCTAGCCTTGATCCCAGTCAGCCTCCAAAACCTTGAGCCTTCCCGAAACTCTATAAATTAGGCTTAAAGGGTACAATAGATAGGCTTGAAGAGGCAACTCCACAGCTCTCTTCTCCTCCTCTAGTCTCTTTTCTCCCTTCCATCTTGTGATAGTTTTAGTACTACAAGTAGCACAGTATCTCAAAACTGGACCCATTAGCAACTTTTTTTCCCAAGCCTCCAAGCAGCATGGTCGGCCCTTCAATGCTTAACACATACAAATATAACGTAACCCTTAAATCCTCTCCAACCACCATCAAATTTCTTTGCAGCTATGGCGGCAAGATCCTCCCCCGTTATCCTGATGGCAAGCTCCGTTATCATGGTGGTGAAACCCGTGTCCTTGCTGTTGAACGTTCCATTTCCTTTTCTGGTTAGTTCTTTTTCTCTATATCAATCAGCAGAAATCTCCTATAGCTCCAGCATACATGTACATGTATCGGAGAAAAAAGTGTGCGTGTGTGTATTCAATAGCATGAGATTGGGATTTGTAAATACCGAAATGGTGAATTTTAATGTTATATGGATTGTTTTTGTGGTGGCAGAGCTAGTGATGAAGCTGGGGGAGATGTGTGGAGCATCAGTTAGTCTAAGATGTCAATTGCCAACAGAAGATATGGATGCACTTGTTTCGATCACCTCGGATGAGGATCTTGCCAATCTCATCGAGGAATATGATCTAGCTGCGGTCTCAGCCTCACCAACCACTAATAATGCCCTCAAGATCAGAGCTTTCCTTTCAACCCCTTATAAACCTACCACCAAGAAATCGTCTCCCTCCCATTCCATTGCCTCCTTTTCTACTAGTAGCAATGAGGCTACTTCTCCAGTTTATTCCCCAGCACCTGCTGCTTCCCCTAGCCTGATCAGCTTTAGGCGTCCAATTAAATCAGCTGCAACTGATAGGTGCGTCCATCAGATCATGTCCAGGCCAGCCGTTGCATACCCCCATCCCCTGATGACTTATGAGAAAGCTGCTGCAAAGGGGCTTCCTCATCATCAGTATGTCTACTGTGGCCCTGGAAAAGCTAGCAGCCATGTATATCTCATTCAACATGGCAACCACTGGCAATAGCAGGGTCCTATAAATATCCGATCGATCCACCTGGACTATATCTTCCCCTGCCAGCGGAAGATAAACACCAGGAAAGATGAACCTGATAATATAGGTTGATATATTGCTATATTCAAGAAAGAAGTGGGCAAAAAAGCTTGGCCAAGCAGACGCAGATATATTTAATGTAAGAAGCTACTGTAAATCATCTTACAGAAGGGATTGTCTTTTTTGTTAATCCTTAAGAAGCCAATTAATAGAAATTTTACTACCTCGTCGTCCAATTTTGTAATGGGACCGCATCGTCAAAAATCCAATTGTGATGGTGTGTGTTTTGCAATTAATCAGGCCATTCTGCTATGCTGCTTTTTCCACTAGTCCAAACGATATGATTACAAACAGCCGTCGATCCAATGTTGTTGTTTATATTACTTTCATCTTTTCATCATCTGATAGAAGTTCATATGCATTTTGTAACACGTAACTATATTTTCTGTGGACGTTTATTATCCTGTTTTTATGCTCCTCGTTTCACTATGGATTGGAGTATGCGATCTTATTTCATTTTCATCACATTTGAGTTTTTACTAACGTGTTGCTCCTTTTTTTTTTAAAATGGTAAAATTTTCTGAATCATGTTTGTTGTTGGCACTGGAATTTTTGTTGCTAATTCTGATATTTGCATTTTGCCCTTGCAGGTGCGGCAAGATATGAACACTGATGTCCAGTGGATCAAATTCCAATGTCCTCAAGGTCAATCTGCAAGAAAGTGTGCTCCATCTTTAGCAGCGAAGATCCATAACTCGGTTTCTTCACCTTAATTGTTTTTCAGCGTCAAATATCTATTGAAATTTCAAAATATTCCGACTTTGTGGTTTCAAAAGGTGTCAAAAGTGATTTTCAATGTTTTAGTGCACTGCACAAAAAACGATCCCGCATTTTGTAAAAATCTCCCGCATTACCTGATATACAGTCACGATTAGCTAAAGCTAGAAAACAATCCAACATGACTTTTGATTCTGCAAAATTTTATTTGGCCGAATTTGTTTAGCTCATAAAGTGCAGACCTGTTCATATTGCCTAATGAAGTTTGGCTGATCCCAAAAGTTTTGCACGTAACAAGTTTGTGTGTTTTGAGAAGAATTCCCATTGGATGAAAGAGTGCCAACTTGGACGTGACTCAGAGTGTACTTACTTAATGGGGTATGGTATTTTTTTATTTGTTTATTATATCCACCATACAAAATATCGTGATTTTTATGCTTTGTTTTTTTTTTTTTCCCTTGCACTATTTTAATGCTATTTGTTGTATTAATTCTGACAGGGAAGGAAGTGATATGGAGTTAAATTGACTTGGGGTATCCATTTCATTTTCTAGACCAGGTCAGGTGGAGCCTGGAGGACTTGGAAGAAGCCGATTGCATATTGTCTCTACAAACTACTAGAAAAACGGACCAACTGAAAAAAAGATAATAACAAAATAGTTATAATAAATGAAGAAGAGGCTGAATGTGGAATTCATTGGACGGGGCCAACACTGGAAAACAGAGTGGAATAATTCTGCTCGGGCAAGGAACTCTTCTTTCGAATGAAAGGGAGTAACAATTAACGTCAAGACAGAGGAGACATTTGCCTGAGAAAAAAATGAAAATGAAGGCGACATATGAATTGATGGCTGATGGCCAAGTGACAGCTGGAGCAAGAAATGGACCAATTATTGTTGAGACTACATTGAAAAAATTATTTTAACAAAATCGAAATCGAAGGGAAAAAGATAGAAAGGAAAGGGACCCTTTTCTTTTTTTATATTTCTTCCTATCAAAGAGATGTGGAGGAAGATGAATGCTGCCATAATTTCGGGTGCAAAAGAAATGCTGCCATTCATCAATTGAGGGCAGATGAGATATGAGCGAAGTAATCAAAAGGACACGAAGATAGGAAGGGAATCAATTTTTTTTTTCTTTTTTCATTTTGAAAGGGAATCAATTTTTGAAGATAAAATAAAAAGTGGTTTAAGGTTATCCTACCCCACCAATGTTCTGATCTTTTCATCGCTTGGAGGAAAAGACTTTTGCCAGGCGAGGCCCGGGCACACCTTCCACTCAGAATTAAGCCTGTTCTTCTCCTCTTGACTATGGATGGGATCACGATCAAAGTGTTCGGTGCTGTGGGAACGTCAGCATCAAAGTGTGGTGTGGTCTGTGGAGCCATTGCAGCTGTGTCATTATATATTTATTAGTATTATAGGGTTTTTGAAGAGTGAACATATATGGATGGATCATGGAGAAAGAACAATGGAAAGTTTATCTGCAGTTGGGAAAGATAACTTGGGGTCATTCCAGGGTTGGAATGGGTAAAGGAAATTGTGAGACTCGTGAGAAAGAGAGAGTTGAATTGAACGCATAGATAGAAAGAAAGGACGTTTTCCAGTGAAATTGTCATCTATCCCTGTCTGAACCAGCAGATGCGTAAAGAAAAATGATAAGGTTATCTTTTTCTTCAGTAAACAAAACTACATTAGCAGACACAAAACAATCGCAATCCCACGACCTAACGATATTTGGCTTGATTTCAGTGTTCTGACTTGGAACTTCCCTCCTTGATCCTTCTTTTTTTATCCTACTATATAAATATATGTTTTCATTTAACGCCAAATTAGGTAATGCCGAATACTGGTTCTTGCTCCATTAGATGAAAGTTAATTGAAAAGAAAAGTGGAATCCGAGCACAGCCCCCCTCCCTGTAGGGAAATTAAATGCTATACGTAATTAAATTAACCAAAGACGAATACCACTACTTACAACTTACAAGAGAAGGATGCCTAATCCAATACGCACTTTACGTATTGGTCCTTACCTTCTCATATTAGCAGCCACAAACAAGGGAGAGCATGCAATGATGATTATTATTACTGATTATTAAGGGGAGAAAATCTCCATCTTATCCGATGAAGTGGTGGGGTCAAGTTGGATTAGGATGGATGAAAACGAAATCTACAGTCATGGGGTGGTGTCATAATAATTTTGATTAGATCATGAGAAAGGAAATAATTCAACTATACAATAGTAACAACAATATTGCAGTGCATGGCCGGTGTCTGATAACACAACCAATGGACGATAGTTGGTTGTTATTATTATCTCTTCATCTCTTGAAGATAAATTAACTTCGACAGTATGTATATAGTATTCCCAATACATTCCCTTTTCCTTGTCTTTTTTGTGTATCGTACGTATCAGGAAATGCCACCACATAATGTAGCCTTATCTCGTATTGGTCCGGAATGCTATTTCTGTCTAGATTAATGCTAAAAGGGCGGAGCAGAAACAGTAGTGATTTACTTCTTAATTCTTAAAAAGCTTTCACATCAAAGTATTGGCATGATCATGGACCAGCAAAGAACCTCTTGTAGCTAGCCGTAATAATACGTAGTAATATATTCATGCGTCTGGGATTCATTGTTGATGAGGTCCCGTCAAGATAATGAACTGCAAGCATTTGTAGCAGTAGATGGCGACGATGAAGATAAGCAATATGATATGGAATAATGAATGCTCAGTCTACTTCTGTCCAGCACGAGCTAGGGATGGATGGTAACGACACTCGAGAGAAAATTGGAATGCCCCATTCTCCTTCTTAATTGGTGCAGCCGTTGTTTCTGGTAAACTTTTTCTAGACATGGGACGTGTTTTTCCAGGGAGTTGAGTTGAGAAGCAGTTGTTTTCGTCTAGGCACAATCAGTTCCTAGTCCCACTGTTTCTTGATAAACAACCTCTAATATTGGGTTAAACCAATACAATTGAGTTGCGTCTCATGAGTTCATACTTGGATAACTATGGATGACAAAACTGAGCTGTCCAGAGGTAACACTTACAAATAAATTGTTATGCATCTGTGGAAACATAACCATTTATATAAATTTTGTGGACTGCGACTATATAAGAAGCAAAAAGGAATAAACAGAAGAAAGGAGAGTACACCTTTGTTTCTTACAAAAATTGAGTTATGCCTCTTAAATTCTGTAATCACATTAACAACCATTCAGGTATTGAATTAGACTACGTAATCTTTTATAGAGTTTGTTAAAAAAAATCGTATTTTAATCGCAAAAATTTTCACATTAGGATGTTTTTGGAATTAAAGAGCTAGAAGTATCAAAAAAACAGTAAATAATAGAGAAGTGAACATAATTATATGGATGAGGACATTTGTTTCCCGCTCCACCCTTATAAGCAATTTAAAGGACAAATAAATAAATAAAAACTTTTGGGGAGATTAATAAATTTAGAACAAATTAAGGGGCCACTCCTGCAGTTATGACAAAATTTAGAGGAGAGAAGTACAATTTAGGGAAATATGGAGGGAACCAAAACCCGGTCGAGTAGTTTAAACCGACCCAAAATGACAACAAACCAAATCACCGTCTTCAAAGTAGCCTTTCCATAAACCCTAAACCCCGTAATTTCCTCTTTCCCCCTTCAATCCCAAAAAGAAAAGAAGACCCGAATAAGCTAATCAATCATCATCAACCCAGATCAAAATGCAGCACGACGAAGTAATATGGCAAGTTATCAGACACAATCACTGCAGTTTTATGGCCAAGTAAGCTCCTTTTTGTTGTTCTTTCTGCTCCTCAATTTCTAACTTGATGGATTTGTTAGTATTTTTTGTTTTTTTTTAGCTTTAATTTTATGGGTTTGGGTTTTGGGTGTTTAATTTTAGAATTGAAACGGGGAATTTTTGTCGAAACCCGTATAACGTCACTGGAGTGTGTAATCGGAGCTCTTGCCCTCTTGCTAATAGTCGCTACGCCACCATCCGTGATCATGAAGGTACTATTTGTTCTTTCCATCCGTGAACAATTTCACCTCTTTTTGTTTTCTAGACTGGGTTTTTTTACTGTATTACTTTTTGTAGTCAATTATATTTTGCCTCTTACAAAATGTAGTATGGAACTCGAAGAAATGAATTGGAAAATAACTAATTATGTTGTGACTTAATGCATTTGTTATGATCTTTGACTGGCTGCTCGTTTAACAAAAATGGTGGAGAATGGGCACCAGGGTTGCACATGGTTTAGGGCTAAAAGACAAATTAGATTATTTGATACTGAAATCGTTCTTGGCTTAATAAGAGCTTGGTTGAGTTTAGGTATTCAACTAATCAAATTAAGCTCCAGCAAGATTTAGTTTCAATAGCTTCCAAGTTGAGAGCAATAAACATAAAAAACTCAAATATAGCTATAGCTAGATCAATCTGTCTGAGCTCTAGTTGAGCTCAGTTTGATAAAAGTCCATTCAAGCTGGAATGGGTAATGATCAAGTCGAGCTCCAAAGTTCATTAATAACTTGTTAAAGAAAATTAAACAAGCCTGTGGAGGCAGCTTTCTTGTTCTGTGGAGCAACGTACTCCAGGTGTTGTATTCTTGCCTTATTTTCCCCTAGGAAAAATAGGTTTTTCAAGGAGGTGTTGTAGGCCATCATTTGCCCTTAAGGAAAAGGCCGTGTCTTGTTAAATATGCGTCCTCAGTTTATTTAACATCTTCTGTAAAGGAGTCGTTCTAAAATATTTTCTCTGCACTGGTTTATTATGGATGTTTCTGTTTAATGATTGATAGTGTTATTGCCTAGAAGATTTGACTTTGAAATCTTGCATATTAAATAAATTAATTTAGTTTTGCTTGTACAGTTGCTCACACCTTGATGTTATTGGTTTATTGTTTAACCAGACAATGTTGTGGTCTTCATTTTCTGCAGGAGTGTTCTATCTATACATGAAAACTATAGAAAGGGCCCATATGCCAAATAAACTGTGGGAAAGAGTTAAATTGCCTAGAAATTATGAGAAAGCACTTGAAGTCATCGACAAACATTTGGTAACTAAAATCTTGTATTGTGTTAATCTGTTTTTTGCATTTGACTGATCAATATATGCTATTGTGCTAGGCACCATATTCCTTGCTAAATTTCTTTCTCTTTCTCCTTGACAGATGTATTGGCCAAAATTCCTTGTTCATAAAACAAAACAACGATTAACTAAGATGACCCAGATGCGAATACGCATGAGGAAGCTTGCATTAAAAACGAGGTTCATGCTTCTTTTACTGTCTGTGTTGCTCTCTTTTCAAATCTGTCAATTGAAGTTGTAAATACTTGATACCGGATTGCTATGAGTACACCTAATGATTGTTGTGCTCATGGTTTTAATTGGTGAGAAAGCTTATCTTTAAGTGCATATTTGGTTTGACTGCCAGAATAACTTGTTCAAGTTGGCAAAGTAAACAATAGGCTAGCCAAATATTTACTTAGCTATAACCCCTTGACATTTTTCATGTGAAGACTGGATTTTGCTAAACAATTAAGCCTTGAATGCATATGTTTCTACTTATCATGTGAAAAGAGAATGAACATTTCTATACAGGTCCAACTGAAAGTGCTTGTGTCATGATTCAATAGAAATCCTATTGTATGTATCAAGAATATGCAGGGGGAAAAAAAAAACTTGTCAGTTGTGGGGGTGATGATTTTCTTTGTTTGGAAGCTTTCTTTTGCCTTGATTTTTCTCTTTTGTATGGCCTTATTATAAATATAACCATTGCCTCTATATTCTTATCTCCTTTCACAGCAATATAATTACATTACAAAATTTTTGTGGTTTAATATGCTCTTCTTAGGGTATAACTTTTCCTCTTTACTTGATTTCTTCAGGGAGAAGATAATGACCACACCCAGAAAGGAGAAGAAAAGAGAGGCTCGGAGAGAAGAAAAGGCTGAAAAGGCCGCAGTTTTGGATAAGGTTTTGTATGACTAGCTGTCATGTCTAACTTTCTAATTCGCTAATTTTTCATGAGTTTATGTAGTGGAATGTATGAAATGTTTTTCCCATTTACTCATGTTTTCAGCAATTATGCAGAGTATTGAAAAGGAATTGCTTGAACGCCTCAAGCGCGGAGTGTATGGTGACATATATAATTATCCTGTCAAAGAGTACAATAAAGTTCTTGACATGGAAAGGCAGCAGGCTGCTAGTGAAGATGAAGATGAGGTCTAAACTACATAAAACTTCTGAACTTGACATTTTCTTGCATTTTCGGCCCTTTGTTTCTGCTTTTTGATTTTTCTTGGGGTTTGTTTTAGGTAGAATGCATACTGACAAACTTCTGTACAACTGATTTTATTAGCAGGAAGGTGAGATAGAGTATGTTGAAGGGTACGAAGAACTTGAAGAGGAAGAAGATATGGAAGACTTAGGTGACCTGGCAATAGGTGCAGATGATGACACTGGTAACACTGAATATTTGATCATGCTATTCTCATTTAGGTTTCTGTTAGTTGTTATCCTCGTCATTTGTTCCCTTCTGTACATTTTCCCTTTAGAAGTGTCTGCTTGTACATATGTAACCGTTTTACAGAAGGCACCTCTGATTTCATGTATTCATTGTTTGTGGTTGTGTCTATCTGTTGGAGATAAGGAAAAGATAATGGTTGTAATTGGTAGTACCCCTCAAGCCAGTTGAAAGTGCATATGA